GGCCTAGAGTTTGTGGCACACTGGCAAGCAGTGGGGCAGGATTCAATTCACAGTGGCAGCTGAAGGTGCTCATAGGTGGGGTTGCTGAGATGACAATGCAGCAGCCCATAGCAACAGTCCGAAGGACAGACTGGACAGCATCAGTGCAACAACATGGAGAGGTGGTACCAGACAACAGAAATGATGGACAACTCTCAGAGGTAACCCAAAGTGCTGTTCACCTGTCAATGGTGCCAGACACCACTGGTTATCAGGAGGTGGTGTCAGAGACACCAGTGCCAACAGCTCCGAGAGTTGTTGGCCCACACCAACAACAAACAGCTCTTTGAGACACCAGGCCTGGGGCCTTTGGTAGTCCTTTCCGCCCACGTCAGAGGCAGGAACAGAGGCAGGTGCAGCAGCCAGGTCTCTGCATGGGTCTTTGGCTTCTTTCTTTGGAGATATGCTGCTGAATGCTTCCTCCTTCTTGCAAGGTTGGTTACGGATCCTTATTTCTTCAGAGTCCTGAAACAAAACCTCCAAGCAGGTTCCTGCCCTTCTTTTATCTTTTTCAGGGTCCTCTACCATACTTTCAATAGTGAAGGGACATGTGTGTATTTATCTTCTATAGTGCGTCAAAATACTCCAGCAATTCACTTTAACTTTTCTTTCATTCATTCATATATAATATACAAAAGAATTCAAGAAATAATAGTTTTAGAAAATAATTTAAAACTATTAGACAATTTTCAATCCTAAATTACTGATTGGACTTTTTAGTATCAATCTTTTTTTTTTGATCTGAGTAATTAGTTAGCTGGGCTTGAGCCTGATTGGTTCATTTAGCTCACACATGATTGTTTCATTCTTTTTTACCAAATGTAAAAGGGAAAACTTGGTGCCTGCAAAGACACCCTCCCACCCTCCTGCCCTCCCATGAGGGCAAGGTCCTGGGCCAGTGGCCTGAGCCAGAGCTGGCCTTAGTGGGTTGGATATAACACAAAAGTTGAGAGTAAGAAGGTGGCCTGCAGCAGCATTGGATCATGGGTCCCAACTGCTGTCAGGTGGACTCAGCTGGGAGCCCACCATATTAGCCTGGGACTCCAAGGGCCTCTCTAACTTCCTAGGGTTCCAGGCCCCATGCTCCTCCCTACAGCAGTGAATCAGGGGCTATGTGACTGCTGTTGCCTCCTGCAAAAGGCAAACTTGCCACAGTTCCAGCAGGACTGCATGCCTCGGAACAGCACAGGAGGGGAACCACGGCTGCCCAAAGTCTGTGTTAGCAGCAGCCTGAGTCCCAGTGGGGCCACAGGTGACAGGCAGTAAAATTCCACCCACCAGCAGCATGCTTCTGGAGCCAGCTAAGGGAAGCCTGAGAGAGGGGGCTCCGGTGCTCAATCCTGCCTAGTGCTGGAGCCTAAAGTGAATGTCAGTGTAGCCAGCAACAGGGCTGTGGATGGCCTGAGGGAAACTCCTGCTGCAGCCTGTGGGGCATTAAGGGGCTGCTCGAAGGCAGAAACTCCTGCCACTATGCTTTTTTTTTTTTAAAAAAAAGATTATTTATTTATACATACAGAACTGGGGTACAGGCCAGAGGTGCAGGGTGCAGGGGCCATGAGAGGATTCACCAGAGAGCGGGGAGCAGAACAGGCCGACTGATGAAGTACACTGCTGAGGGCAGCAGCGGGCAGGTCAGGAGAGGTCTGCTGCGCAATGTGAGTCATCTCTGGGCTGGGGATCGAACTCATGCTGAAGTAGCTTTAGCTTCTTAGTGCTGTGCTTTAACCTGCTGTGCGACCAGGGAGGGCCCCACTATGCTTTTTAGGCTGCTCTTGGCAGCCTCAACTAGCCAACCTTCAACAGTACAACCTTCCAGCTGTACTGACAGGTAAGGTAGAGGCACCAACAAAGCTACACGTCCTGCTACCTAGTTAGCAGGAAGGAGTTGGTCCTGCCCAGAGACTTGTGCTGTGAGGATCTGATTTTAAGTAAATTACAGAAAAAAACCAAAACTTGATAACCACAAAGACACGGACAACTTTCTTACCTACCAGAAAAGAATTAAAAACTGCCGTGATCAAGGAAACAAAAGTGGGAATACAAAGAAAACATACGCAAAGATATATGAGAAAACTCAGAAAGGAAATGAATACTGAGAAACACAAGCAATGAACAGATCACAATCAAAACTTTAAACAAGAAAATAGAATTGCAAGATGTATAAGGAAAATGAAGGAGGTAAAAAATTCTGGAGAAAGCCATGGAAGGTAAGAGATTTAAAGGAAAAAGAATGAAGAAACACTTTGAGAATTTCCTAAGACCGTGTAAAAGAAAGTATAAGAATTACAAGAATCCTAGGAGAGAGAGGGAATAGAAAAATTATTCAAGGAAATGATGGATAAAAATGTGAAGGAACTGAATGTACATACATATAGGAAGCAAAAACACCACCAAGCTACCTAAGTAAAAGGAGACCTGCAGCAAGACATATATTGGTAAAACTTCCAAAAATCCAACACCAAAGAAAAATAATGAAACAATGAGGTAGAAGAAAACAGATATCCCATAAAAGAACACCAACCTGGCTAACATTGAACTCCTATGAAGAAACAGTATGGGCAAGATGAGGTGACATACTCAAAATTTCTCCAAGACAAAAATTGCCAGACAATAATACTTTATTTTGCAAAGCTCTCCTTCCTGCATAAGAGAAAAATACAGGGCAAAGAAAATCTTAGAGAGTTTACATCAACTAAACCCCTTCTCCAAAATATTAAAAGGAGTTTGAGGATTTAAACCAGATTGAGGAATGAATGCATGAACTGAAAAAGGAATTAATTAGAACCGCAGAATTAGGAACAAAATGGCAATATGTGGGAGTTTGGATTATTGTGAACCTCAACTATTCTGTGTCTTTGCCTCGATTATTCTTTGCTCTGGCTGTTCTGTGCTTCTCTGTGTGCAGAAACAGGGAAAGTTTATAAATAACCTCTTAGGGTAAAAGTTCTGGCATAAAGACTTATACACTGAAAACAGCATGTACAGGAGTAGCAAACACTAGACTTCCCTTGACTTTCTCACTACTTCCAGCCTTGGTTGGGCCAGCTGGTTACGCATTCCCCACATACTTGTGCATTCCCATTTGCCTGCTTGCTTCGTTGACCTTCTTATTTCCTGTCATATTCTAAATAAAAACAAGAGCTGGGCTGTACTTTCTTGGTGTAGTCCCTCTGGGCTTCTCATTGTTCTTGACATGGACTCTAAGTAAACCTTTATCATCCCACCACCACAGGCTGTAACAAGACAGCAATAACAGACTTTGACATCAGTAATCATTCCAAATGTCAATGGATTGAACTCACCAATAAAAGAAATAGAATTGGGAAATAGAATCCAATCATCTGCTGTCTCCAGGATACAAACAGTACCAAAGTTCCAAGTATTAACACAGACTGAAATTAAAGTAGTGGGAAAATATTCTACAAGCAAATGGCACCCAAAGGCAGGCAGGAACAGCCATACCTGTATCAGAGAAATAGACTTCCAGCTAAAAAAAGTAAAGACACAAGGATGTATACGAACAATGAGAAGATAATGCCTCAGAAATTATAAAACTTATAGACCATTAAGTATCCCTGCTTCCATCACCATTTGTACTTCTGTGTCTAGTTTAGATTTAAATTCCTAAGAAATAACCACTAGCCAAAGTACATGGAGTCACAGAATGCAATTCCAGGGTCCTCCCTCGTAGTGTGAAGGGTTAAAGCACAGCACTGTGAGGCTATCCCTAGCCGCTGCAACATGGATTGGATCCTGGCCAGGAAAGTGGCCCATATGGTAGCAGACATCTCCTGCCTTGCCTGCTGTTGCCCTCAGCAGTGCATTTCTGTACATCTGCCTGTTCTGTTCCCCACTCTCTGATGGTTCCTTTCACTACCACCCTCATCTGCACCTCTGACCTGTACCCCAGTTCTTCTATGCATAAATAAACAAATCTTAAAAAAAAAAAAAAGAATTCAATTCCAGAAGTAAATGTCACTAGCCAAAAACACACAGCTGGATAGGAATCCCAGTAAATTTTTACACCAAATCAGCACTTTTAGAATAGTCCTTAGGAATAAAGTCAGACTCCCCAATCCAATTTAGTTTCTTAAACAGTAGTATATCTCGGGCCCTCCCTGGTGGCACAGCGGGTTAAAGCACAGAACCGAGAAGCTTAAGCCACTTCCTCACGAGTTTGACTCCCGCCTGCCCTGGAAGAGATCCACATGATGAGGCAGACTTCTCCTGGTCTGCCCGCTGCTCCTCTCAGCAGTGTACTTCCTCGATCTGCCTATTCTGCTCCCCGCTGTCTCTGGTGAATCTTCTCACCCTCCGCATCTCTGGCCCGTAATAAGAGACGATCAATACTTTAAAAAAAAAAAAAAAAGTAGTATATCTCAAGGTGGTAACAAATAAATTATTTTAGAATTGTGACTAAAATGTTATCTTCTCAAGTCTATAAGATAAGCAAAAATAAAGTCTAAATTCCAGGACTTTTTCTTTTTTTATATCCAAATAGGTGGGTTTTTTTTTTAAGACATTTATGCTTACAGAACTGGGGTACAGGCTAGAGGTGTGGTTCAGGAGAGGTCTGCCATGCCATGTAGGTCAGCTCCCTGGTGAGGGATCAAACTCATGCTGCAGAGGCTTTGGAGAACATCATAATGTGGTGCTTTAACCTACTGCGCCACGAGGGAGAGCCCGGGTGGTTTATTTTAATTTTTAAAAAAAATTATAAAAAGGATGCTTACACAGATACAAGCAGGCAGGAAAAGCTTCCTACAGGATTTTTATATGTCAAAAAACTAATAATTGGACTATTTGGTTGCAAAAATTGACTAAAAATTATGATCTATAAGCTACTCATCATATTCATGAAGATCTAATAGCTTTCTTCTAGTTTCACACTTAATCTTGCACTATTTGTTTTATTCTCTTATTTCCCCTGATATTGAATTCATAAGCAGAAGCTACAAAAGTCAGTTTCAGATTTTATTTCATTAACTTAGATGAACAAAATGTGTAATTAAAATCTTATCAAACTCAATGGCCCTAAATGTGTTTACATAGAGGACAGATACAGAATTTAAGTAACTTATGGTAGAGTCCTTGTTCATTTAAAAATGTTTCTTCCACAAAGACTCTACTGAAAGACAATTAACATTTTCCTTTATTCTGCATAAGAGTTAGATGCAAACTTAAGATGTAAATTTTATCGTCAACTCTGATGCTGAAGCTCAGAGGCACAAAATGTTCACAGTTCAGAAAAATGATGGAAATAAACAGCTGCTTGTTCCGGATGCCTCCGTTCATAATTCTTATAGTAGTAACACATACTTGAAACTCAGCTCCAGTTCACTTCTTCTTCTTTCCTTTTCCTTTCTTACTTCCCTCTCCCTGCTGCAGAGTTTGGTCACCACCTCCTGTTTTTTGTGTCCTCGTTTTTAATTTAGGTATCATTTCTGCTGCATACAACATTACTGACTTACCTAGGAATCAGAAGTTAGGTTTAGTATTTAAAAGAACAAAATCAAAACTTAAAAACATTAAATTTAAAACAAAAATGTTGGCCTTGTTCCAAAATTGAACTTGACCTGAACCACTATGGAAAATGCATCTCAGTAGAACAAGTTGTAAACAAGAATCATAGTATCATACCTTAACTTACAAAAACATAGGCTTTCACAGTCTTATAACAAAACCCAATGTCATTAAGGTACAAAAGTTCTTCCTTATGTAAACAGGCACCTGCTCTGCGCCAAGCACCTCTTCCAGCTCCAGTAGTTGCCTTCTTTATCCCAAAATACCTTGCTCTTGGCTATTCTCATTGTTACTATTTTCTAAGTAGAAACAGGAAACATATCTTTTCAACTGTAATTTCTATGTTTTTTTATATTAAAAACCAATTTTTAGTTCAAAAACAACTGAGTCGTCAAAAAAAAATGAACTGTCTGGGGTCTTTGTGTTAAGAAAAAAGAACTTAATTTTTAAAAATTCACATGCTTTTTGAAGTACATTCAGAAAAGGATACATAACACTTATTTCCCAATACCTAGAGTTAACAATTTAGAACTCAAATGTCAGTTTTGTTGGTTATGGTTATTAAATAAACAATAAATATAAGGTTATAATCTTCCCTGTCCCCAATCCATAAACCCTGCACATTTAGATTAACTGAAGACTGTATATTTTCTTCTAACCACTGCAAAAGCATTTTATATGTGTGCATGTTATGCATGTGTATATATATGTGTATATGTGGATACATATCCAACACACACACACACAAAATATCAGTACAGAATATTACTTATATATTTATCAATAGGTAGTAATAGTTTATATTTACATCTACCATTGTGATAGCACAGAATGTATACTTCTTGCTTTTTTTTACTCAATGTGACTTTTTAGATTTATTAATCATAGAAATTATTAACTCAGGCCTCAAAAGTCTCTAGATTCTGAAGTGGCAATTAATAGCTGATCATTAAATAATTTTATATCACTAACCTGGATGCAATGATGGATTTCCAGCAGTTTATAAGGTGTTTGAAAAACTTTTTGGACAGATGATTAAATTTATCACAATGTCAAAGATGTCTTAAAAGAAGTTAAGCCACTGTTTACCACTTTCCATCAACAGTCTTTTTTCTAAATTAATCTACAGAATGCATATTAAGTTTTTTTATGTTTCAAAATGTCAGTTTTAGAGCTGTTTTTGCAGTACAAAGGGATGACTTATTCCCAAAATATACATCTGTTCAGCAAAAAAAGCTTATGTGGCCCTCTCTGGTGGCACAGCGGGTTAAAGCACAGCACTGATAATCTAAAGCCACTTCCTCATGAGTTCGATTCCCGCCTGCCCCGGAGGTGACCACATGGCGTGGCAGACCTCTCCTGACCTGCCCGCTGCTCCCCTCAGCAGTGTACTTCGTCAATCTGCCTGTTCTGTTCCCCGCTCTGTCTCTGGTGAAGCCTCTCACCGCCCCTGAGTCTCTGGCCTGTACCCCAGTTCTGTATGCACAAATAAATAAATCTTAAAAAAAAATAAATAAATTAAAGCTTACGTGATGGGAACTGTACAAGACAGAGGCTGCCATCTTCTTGCTTGAGCTGGACCCGGACTCTGCCCCTGTACTGAACATCACGATTCCATTCTCTAGAGTACATTTTATTCTTCTAACAAAAATCATAAAAAAATTTTAAGAAAGTTGAAAATTATGTCAACAAGATGTACACAAAAATAGTGAAGAAAGAACCACAGCATACCTCAAGAAATGCATTAAGTCCAACTGCTGAGCATACATCTTGAATCTCTGTAGCTGTAGGATTTTCAACAGCCTGAATAGTTAAAATAAAAACACTACAGTTTAAAGTGAATACTGCTATATTGTGTAAATCACTTAAAATACTAACGCCAAAACTCATGCCAAAACCCTATGCTTTCTTTTACAGTTATTTTATTTGTAATTTTTATTATTCCTGGGAATAACCATGGTTAGGTCTTCTGTGTCCACTCCCTTAAAACGATTAATGAGGGCAAAGACTGGTTTGTTCACAAGTATATTTCGTAGCACCTGGCATGCTGCTTGTAAACAGTATATTCTTAAGGAATATTAAACAAGCACTTTAGAAAATTATCTGGAAGAATCTACTAAAGCCAAATACTTACACTTCTTATGGGCCTGTAATTCTACTCTAGTATATATATCAATAAAAATGCCAGAATGCATTCACTAAGCTATAAGTTCAAAAATATTATTTTTAATAGTCCCAAACTAGAACAACTGATTTATACATCAACAGTAGTATGAACTATGGTATACCTGTACAATAAAATACTACAGAGCAGTGGTTTTCAGCAAGGCAATTTTATCCTCTAACTGACATCTGGAAATGCTCAGAGGCATTTTTGATGGTTATAACCTGGGTAGGGTAGGGCACTGGCAACTGGTGAGTTGAGGCCATGAATGCCTTTAATTAACCTAAAATGTACAAGGTAAATTCCACAACAAAGACTTTCCTGCCTTAAAATGTCAGTGGTGCTGTTACAGAGCAACAAGAATTACATACTAAAGTGTGGGGAAATCACATAAGCTTAAAGTTCGGAGTGAAGAGACAGACAAAAAAGTACACAGTACATAATGCCATCTAAAAACAGTAGGAAGTCAGGAAAGTGATTACACTTTCATGTGAGTACATATATAGAACAGTCACCAGAGGGACCATAATGGAATCTTCTTGGGTACAAGCAATATTTTTTAAAATTTGGGTATTGCTCAAAAACATTGATTCAAAAAGACACCTGCACCCCCATGTTTACTGCTGCTTTCTTTACAATAGAAAAGCCATGGTATCAACCCAAATGACCGAAAGTAGATGACTGGATTTTAAAAGATGTGACACATATATACACAATGTGATATTACTTAGCAATCAAAAAAGATAAACTCATGCCTTTTGCAGCAACATGGATGGAGCTGGAAGGGATAATGCTCAGTGAAATTAGCCAGAAAGAAAAATACTGAATGCTTTCACTCATAGCAGGAGCATAAAGGACTGGGGGTGGAAGGGCTGGAGACACAACAATGAACAACTATATACCAGAGACTTTATGGGGGTGGAGTGGAGAATGGGATCAAAAATGGGGGCAGAGGGGAGGAGTCCACAGGACTATGGTGATGGCACATGGGTGAAGTGGTGGTTGGAAGTCCACAGGAATTATAACTGAGATGGAAAAAGGCACGAAATTATGTAAAAATAAGCTACTATACAGAAAAAAAAATTGGGTGCTACTTATCCATGTATACTTACTTTTATGAAAATTAATCAAGCTACATACTTAAGATTTGTCTTATCTGTATGTACACTTCACAGCAGTAAAGTTAAAAGTAATTCAATAATAAAAAAAGAATTCTGGCCCTCCCTGGTGGCGCAGCGGGTTGAAGCACAGCACTGAGAATCTAAAGCCGCTTCCGCATGAGTTCGATTCCCGCCTGCCCCGGAGGTGACCGCATGGCGTGGCGGACCTCTCCTGGCCCGCCCGCTGCTCCCCTCAGCAGTGTACTTCGTCGATCTGCCTGTTCTCCCCGCTCTGTCTCTGGTGAATCCTCTCACCCTCCGCATCTCTGGCCTGTACCCCAGTTCTGCATGAATAAATAAATAAATCTTTAAAAAAAAAAAAGAATTCTATCATTCTTCAAATCATGAGAACTTGCTATCAGAGGCCTATATCACACTGGATAAATTTCAAGTATTCCGAATCACTGCTTTAGTATCTGTTCTTTTACCGTGAAGCATCAAAGTATCCAAGTAGATTTTCCTTTACATATTTTGTAGCAAAATGGGAAATAAAATTAAGTAATGCAAAAATAACTTTACCTCGTTCATGTAAAGTTAGCTTAAATCTGTTAGTATACAAAATTAAAAACTGAGGCATGGATAGTTTCACTTCTAAGTGGAATACAGAGAAAATGAACAAAAGGTCAGGAAAATGCTACAACTTCCAAGATCTGAGGTCTACAGCAAGGAAAAGGAAAAGAAGGGTCAAAACCGCTAGGGAAGAGCACAAAGACTGTGGTGACAGATCACAGGGTCTATGATGGTGGGAAAACTATGGGGACTACAGTGGAGGAGAGAAATCAAACACTACAAAATGAACAATGCAAAAAAAATAAATTTAATCACAACACAAAAAGCCCTAAACTATGATGGTAATTTTGAAAACAAAATGACTTCTACAAAGACCACTCAGTTGCCAGTACGCAGTTCCAAACTTAAGTCACCAGGTCAACTATCACAGCACACAAGAGAAAACATTAACTTTAATAAAATAACTGCACCGTTCTCAAAAAAATCAAAGTAAAACAACAAAACTTGTCTGAATTTTCTGCAGGTCTTGTTTAAAAATTGGCTGCATTCTAGATATTATATTGTACAATGCCATGTTGCATTCCTTTATCAAGGGAGAGGCTCTGAAGGCCTTTATTTATTTTTAAAATTAAATTACTTACTTATATATGTTTTATATCATTGTTCATTTTTAAACAATGTTTACATCCCCCCCTCAGCTGTAGTACCCATAGAATTTTCTCCCCCAGTCACCCCTGCACTATCACCACAGTCCCCTGTGCTCCTCTCTCCCTCCCCTGCAGGATGGTTTACAATTGTTTCTTTTGTTGTGTTTTGTGTTGTTTTTATTTTTCCTTCCATCTCTTATCTGGTTCCCCTATGTTCCTCTTATAAGTGAAATCGCTGGATTTTTTTCTTCTTTTTGGACTTATTTTACTGCATAATTCCTTCTAGCTCCATCCATGTTGCTACGAATGGCATGAGTTTATCTTTTTTTGATTCCAGGTATCATTTTAGTATTCCACTGTGTATATGTGTACCACTGCTTCTTGATCTAGTGATCTATTTTTGGGCATTTGGGTTGTTTCCAGGTCTGCAATAAGTACAGGGGTGTAGGTGTCCTTTTGAGTTAATGTCAAAACCTTGATTTAAAAAAATGTGCAAACCCTACAGCTCCCACCCCTCTCTTTCAAACAGTTTCCTGAAGCACCACCTGTACCTTAGTGTCTTTCTGGTTTCACCATCATTACGAGCGCACCTCAATTCTTAGCTGCTGCTTTCCTCAGGTCCCCAAGATGAATTACACTAAAAGCTATTGTGCCCTTAAGGTTACAACCATCCCAAAAGCTGCGGTGCCTGGTGCCTGGCTCCTGGCACCTGCAGCGGACTTACCTTACTTACGGGGATTCGCCTCCCTTCCGCGACGGTCTTCTTGTTATTTAAGTAGGCAGGATAGATGCAGATGAACCTGCGGGGAACACAACTTGAGTCACCAGGTACGTTTTTCAAAAAATGTACTCACCATTATCACAACTACTAACCCATCTATACTGTTATTTGCTTGACTTTTTTCTAATACGGTCTTTTTCATTTAAACTACTTGAAAAGGAAACTTTACTGCCTTGAAAGGAAAAACATCATCTGCTTAGAGAACGTCAAAATAAAGTCGTGTTTGGTTCGAGAACCGCCTGTCAAAGTTCCTGAGGACAAGGACCGCTCTGCGAGCGCGGCGCGGCGACTCGAGTCTCGGGGCGTTTTTAGGGACCCGGCGGTGTAGGGGCGTAACGAAAGCTAACGACAGCAGGTTCTCGCACTGTGACTGAGTCACTCTCCGGCCCTGTCCACTGAGCGCCACGGTCCTTTGTCCCAAGACACGTCCACGGCGAGCGCGTAGCTAACAGCGTTCCGGGACCTCCTGGGCACTGGCGCCGCGGCAGAGCTCCGCGGGGACCCTGAGGACGCAGATCCCGCAACAGCAGCCAGGACCCACCTGTCCTGGTCGGCCGGGGAGCGCGCGGGGGCGTAGGCCATCGCCCTCGGAGTACACGCTGCGCTGACCACACCGTGGGAGAAGCCAGCTGAACCTCCCAATCGAGGGTGCCCCCACTTCCGGCGGAAGTCACGCCAACGCACGGGCCGCGTCCTCCCGCCCCTCCCGCCCCTCCCGCCCGTTTGTTCCGACGCCTATCTCTCGGCCTTCTTTGTTCTGACGTGGCATCAGCGCCCTATGCTCTCGCGAGGAGAATACCGATTTCCCCGCCTCACTCCAAATCTCGCGCAGCGAGGGCGTTTTGGAGCAGCCCCGGAGTGGAGGTCGCGCTTCCGGCTCTTGGCCATTTCCTTCTGAGCATGGAGGCCCCGCCTTTCTCTCGGGGCGGCTGGCCTCCGGCTCCCACGTTAGACGCCGGTAAAACGGACGAGGAAACGCGCTTTGTGTTAAACACTGTTCCATATGCAGGTAATTTTAAACTTTAAACTTCTGAGGAAACCTTTTGCCCCAAACTCACATGTGTTGTTGCCTACCTAAAGTGAATTGCAGAACACTCTTTGCAGCATTTTCTAACTTAAGCTACACATATTTTAACTGCTGTTTCACTAATGATTTTTGTTTATTGGGTTACAATGTGACCCAAAATAGTGGGACCTTTACCTCTCCGAGAGGGATGCATGGAAGGGTATTGAATGAATCAGGTCAGCCTTGTACTGGGATTGGAGGGTGATGGGAGTGTAGGGTAGAAAAATTGAGGCTGGGCAGGGCTCAGCAGGACAAACTAGAGGTGATGTTGCAGGGCAGGGAGAGAGGGGCAGCCCTGAACCCCCAAACCTACCTGCTCTAAATAGGTGCTGCCATTTGCCACATCAAGACAAGACATAAGAGCTTTAATGGAAAGGAACTTTAATACAATGAGTATACAACACAGAAGACAATATAATTTCTAAATCAAACACCAGAGGCTACCCAGCCCCTGGTGGGTAAAATTCCACCCAAAAGGGATTGGTCCAAAGTAAGGCCTGAAAGCCGCCATAAGACTAAATCACCTTCTGGCTGGGGCCCATAGGAAAGGGTCAGCAATGGCCAGAAAAGTCTGGGAGGAAAAGAGCACAATCAAAATCAATATAAACGCTGCTCTAGTCAACCTCTCCATGGGTATCTCAGATCTGTTTCACCCAGTCAAGGACCAGAAACAAGCAGAGTTTCTTCACATTGAAGAACATGACACCCTCCATCTTGAATTATCCGCTGCTATTTTAGACTTGAGTTTCTGATTCTACAGGATGGGGCTTCCCGTATGACACCACAACTGACACAGGATCATACCATATCCACCAACCAGTAACCGTCTGGGGCACTCTCTGTACCAAATATGGAGGGTGGTAAGGGTCAACCAATCAGACAGTGACCATTATGTTCAGGGACTGTATAAAGACTCTACCTCACAACGCACGTGGCCCTTTCTACCACACCAGGTCTGGTGTGCGGTTGGGTCCGAGCCCAAGCTTGTAATAAAGTTTCCTCTTGTCCTTACATTGGTGTGGCTGGCTTTTTCCGGTAGTGTGCCCCAGTCAGGCACAACACACATGTTTCTCTGTTCCATGTGGCTTCCTCAGGTCTCCTGGCTCTCCATATGTGTCTTTCTGGTCCCAGAGCCCTTTGACAGCAAGGTGTCTGTCTGGCGACAGGTCTGACTTTTTCCTGACCCTACTACGCCACATCCTACAGAAGGCACTTAAAAACAAAAAATTGGGTTAGGTAAGATAGGTATTCTCTTTTACCCCAACTCCCCAAAACAGAAGTTGAGTCTTCCAGGTTAAGTAATTGGCCCATTCATGGTGAAAATAGAAAATCAGTCAGCTGGTCTGACTGGAAGTTCTTGAGTTTTCTCCATGCCCTCAATTACTTTGTTTTCCTTGTAGAAATTAGGTTACTTTGGTGCTGATGTCTGTAAATAACTTATTTTCAAAGTGTACATGATTCTTGTAAAACAAACTTCACTGCAGTGAGAAACAATGCAACATTTAGAAACAAGATATTTACATCTAAACTTTAAAATGAATAATTTACTAAGGTATTCACTAAATGCCCACTTACAGATGGTTAGATATAGAAGATGTGGCATATATAGGAATACTATTCAGCTGTGAGGAAAGATGAAATTTTTTCATTTGCAACAAAACGGAAGGAACAGGGGATTGTATCAAGTAAAATTAGTCAGAAAAATAAAGGCAAATATTGTATAATTTCACTTGTAGATGCAATATAAAGAAACTGAGTGGATAGTGCAAAATAATGAAACTCAATGGACAGAGAAAAATAAAATAAAAATTCATTGGTGGACACTGAAAACTAAAGGATACCAGAGGTAATAAGTGCAGTAGGTGGGAGTGAGGCTAGAAGGGGTATAATGGTGTTTTTATTTAATGGCGACAATAAAACATATAATATACCCACTGTGGGGACTTTACTTTCATACTTTAGTTGCATCATGAAAATTCAAATAGTATTTTTCAATTTTATATACGCATATGAGGAAACTGGAAAGTGAACAGGTGGTCTAAGGTTTAATACGTGCAGGAGTCTAGTTACCATGAATTGCTTTCTTAGAGCTGTATTAGTAATTGGAGACAAAAGATTAATAGTAAAATTGTTTACATTCCTTGTTTCATACACAAGAAAGAAATTAATGATGGTGCTAATATTTTTGAGTGCCATTCTATGCTATCAATAGATCCATGAATTATTTCATTATGTACAGTTACTAAGACATAAAAGTATAAAGAAAAGTGTATAAAGAAACAACAATATTGTTAGGACAAATTAACAGGTAAGGAAAAAATAGCTAAATAGCTAAAAAAGATGCCCCCCCCC